GCATGATCGTTTTTTAGTGTTAATGTTCATGAGGGGAAAATTCACACTGCCTGCTGTCATTTTTTATCCTTTCATGTCCCTTCACATCTGTTTATAATGGCTTTGTATGAATCAATACAGCCTTTGAGTTTTAATTTATATCTCAATAGACAATTAATAAAGCATTAATCAAAGTCTTTGTTATTCTGCTTGTCATTAGGCTTTGTCTAAGTCAAGTCAAGTTTATTTATATAGCACATTTCAGCAACAAGGTTATTCGAAGTGCTTCACACACAGTATCAAAAGCATCGTGACAAAGGGAGAGGTTTACATCTCAGAATATTTTTATCCTTAAAAAACAGTTGTAAAAATATTTGTCAAGACATAAAAAGAAACCACACCACAGAGTATAATTACTGAAAACAAAATGCATTTACTGAGTCCTGACTAGTCCCTCCTGTTCTGATGGCCTTTTGAATGTGGCACATTTATTACATGTAGCTGTGACACAAGAACTGTGGAAACAAAAAATGTATAAACCGTCTTTACTGAAGCAATACATTTAAAGATACACTCACATATATACATTACTTTTCTGTTTTTTAAGGTTTAGAGACAGGACAGTGGATAGAGTCAGTGATCGGGGTGAGAGAGATAGTGACATGCAGGAAGGGAGCCACAGGTCGGATTCAAACCTGAGCCGCCCGCCTGGAGGACCACGGCCTCCGAACATTGGGCGTGCGCACTAACCAATACACGACTGGTGCCCCACATATATTCATTTCTGATTCATTCTTGTCAAGTGTTAGACGCGATGAGTATATAGACGGATAGCACTGGAAAACTAACCCAAACAGAACTTACCTGACTCTATAACTTGTGATGGATTTTCCAACCATAGTAAATTGGCCTTAGTTGTTTTTCATGCTTTACAAACATGACAACAAGCAAATGTTCTCCTAGAAAGGTTGGAAAACAAGCCCTGATATCTTAAACTTAAACCTGATTACTGCAGACACAGGCGGCTTAATGTCACACGAGGTTGCTCGGCCACAAACATTTTGAAAAAAAAAAATGGACCTGATAACTAATGCATGACAGTTAAGATGAAAAACCTAAATCAGACCAAATCATACCACTTACTCCTAATATAAAGAGAAAGGTTACCAATTTCCTCATTCTTCTATTAATTAGTTAAAAAAAAAAAAAAGGAAGCTCTGATTATACAACTAGGCTCACAGGTATATTTAAGCTTTGCCCAAGGGCACCACTCCTCTCTTCAAATCATGATTGATTGGCTTTTGTTGTTTATGTAGTTTTTTTGTAATTGGATTACACATTGTTTTCAGTGAGTTAGCTGTTGCATTCTGTCATACAGCTACTGTACTTTAAAACCATCAGCACAACTTCTGACTGCGAGGCCCAGGGCTCAAGACCCGTCAAGACCTTAAGCGCACCTGACTGCAGACACCAGCAGGAATAATGTGATAATAGAGTTATAATCAACATACAGTCGACAGGTGGCACAGTGTAAGAAGAAACAAACAGATTTATATCAAATGTTGTGTTCCTGCGGTCTCATTTCTGAGTTGATAGTTCCTTATGTGAAAATAATCAAACGTCATTATCGGGGTGTATTTATGTAACAGATTTCCTGTTTCCAAACCGGCCCTAAGGGTAGTTTTTTTTAAACAAGGGATGGTGCTGAGATTATGGTGTATGTGAGGGACCAGTGTTGCCTGAAGCTGTGGCCAGTTGTCTTTATTGGCTCATTTGCCTCTTGATGAGATGAATAATATCCAGACTTTTCAGTCCTGCCAACTGGAGGGCTGACGTGACCCATCTGACCTCTGCAGAGTCTGCAAAGGACTGGGATATTGGCTTGTGTTTATTAATGTGCCAGAGCATCATTTGTGCAAGTTTCATCTTTAGTATATGATTTTTTTTTTTTATAAATAAGAATAGGAGAAGTTAGTATGTTTTTTTTCTAGTTTCAAGTGGTTATAGTTTGAAATGTTGGATTTTTATCGAACAGCCTTGTGATTTATCATTTAACTATCACCATAAGGATATTCACATTTGCAAAGGTGACACTGCAGGAATGTGCAATGCACATTAGATTAATTGCATGTAATTGTTGCTTGATGCAATGTTAAGTCTCATCTGGTTTTTATGTAACATGATATATCTACAGTGAAAAGTATGACTGAGTGAGCCCTTTAGAACCCATAGCAAACTGATGACAGGTAACAACGGCTGTGTGACGGCAGACGTTCAGTTACGTTACACAGCTTTTGAGTGTTCAGTGGCACCTCATCCCCATGCTTGTCAATGCTCTGTGGTCACAGAGTAGACGTACTTAGAAATGTTTCCCATGGCTACAACTGCAGCACACCTAATGTGTTGCGTTGTGTGAATCGACAGGTGATGGTGACCTTTGTTTTAAAATTGCATTGTCAGCTTTTTTTTTTAATATCATGTGGTGTGACTGATTTGCTAAAGTAGACCTATAATATTTAAATTTATTTATAATAATGAATTGCAGATTTGAAAGATCCAGGATCTGTTAGATACCCATAGCTATTTAAGTATAACAGACTATTTGAATATTCTGTCATGAAACCATGGCTGTTTTACATACACTGACAGACAGACACAGGCACGCACGCACGCACGCACGCACGCACGCACGCACACACACAGGTTGATTCAAATTTAGCCTCTTACACCTTCACAGATCGTCATAAGCATTTGAAGAGTGGTTAATTTGTGAGTGTGCGTGTGTGTGTGTGGCTACAGCATGGGCAGTGAATGTCCTTTGCCTTGATTGACCCCCAGGGAATCGCCTGGATGCACAAACACAAAAGCAAACAGCCCTGTGCTCACACACACACACACACACACACACACGTCATTACACACTGATGTATTTCTAATGCTTTTGGAGACTAACTAAATATAAAGCAGATATGCTCTCTAACATAACCTACTGCCAGGGGGAAACTGTACAAAATAAGAAAATAAAGGCCCCCTGTGTCTATTAACAGGTTTGCTTTTTGCGCTGGCAGCGCCCACGACCTCAGTTTCAGAGCGCTTCTCATTGATTCATACTGTTGCTAGGTTACAAACGTTGTCTTGCATTACTTCTGCGTCCCTCAGTAGTGACTGTATGGTCTCTTTTAAATTGCTTTATTTATTTAATATTCACTTTTATTTAAAGGAACTCCACTAAGTAAACATAAAATTAAAAGAAATCATGTGGAATAGGCAGCAGCTCTACACCTGGATCGTGCACCCTTGTAAGGACGAGTGGGATAAGATCTCCTCCACCATTGTTGTTGACAAAGTTGATACCAAAGTCCTAACCCTCTTGATCAGTAACGCTACAGTTGTATCACCTGAGACTAATGCTTTCTTCTTCTTTTGTTATATTATGGTGGCTAGGTAACAGCTGTCAGATGTGCACCAGCACCACATTACAACCAGGTGGTGGTAAAAAAATTTAATGAGATAAAAATTGCATGAAAACTTCAACACCTTTCAGAAATAAATGAAAATTGGAATATTCTAAAATCATGATCCATGAATGTCTTCAACAGAGAGAGCAGTGACAAAAAACAACAACCAGACAGCTAAAGCAGAGGGCCTTTTTGTGGTTAGGACGCTGAGTGCTGAAAATGCTCAACTGCATTGGTTTTGAATTCAGTTTAATTCAAAACCTTTATTTTGACTCGAAAGACACTGAGGTCTCCCTCATTTACAGTGACGCCGAGCTCACAGCATAGAAGAGGGGACAAAAAAAATACAGATAAAAAATAAATAAATATGTGTGCTGGAAAATAATGACGTTCGTGGACACAAACCCTTAAACTCTGGAACAGTGAAGAGGCCTTCATCTGCTTTTCTAGCTGTGAGGGGGGCCTATAGCATCTCTGCCATACTACACATACATTTAAAGCCAGTTACCTCCAACATATTACTCAGAAGCCCCTCTGTGCGGGAATATACATACTGTACCACTGTACAAATACCAGTGACCTTTTTTTCACAACCTCTTGAAATCCCATTGGTAAAGCGAGTTATGGGCAGCAGCATGAATACTTTAATGCTCTGAGACTGTAATCGTAAAAAAAAAAGGGACTGCAGCTGTGTTGATGTCACTGCTTCAGGCTCTGTGCTTGAAGGTGCACTGTGGGTCCTCTGTCTCATGGCACATAGCACCCATGGCACCTCGGTGGTGAGCGAGAAATGCCTGTGGAATTATTGATGAGCCATTTGTAGTGTTGTGTACAAATGAATATCTAACTGTGTGTCTCTGTATGTGTGAGAGGCTTGCTTCACTATCGATCTCAGTGGAATTCACTGATGGAATGGTCTTGCTAATGAATATGATTTGCTGCTATACCTTTGTTTTAAAATTAGTTTTGATTTTTGTGTCACAAACTGTCATGTTTAATTATGTTTCTGTGTTGAACATGTGATTCACAAAGCTGTAAAGCAATGAACAAGGGCTCAACAAGATGGTAACATATTGATCGCAGGTCTTCATGAGCCAAGACAAAACAGTCTGGTCTTTGTACAAAACTATGTGGGCGTTCAGACTAGAAATAGCCCTGCACTAACAACAGAGCTAGGTTTGCATGATGCTTATAGCTTTATGTTCTATTGAGACACTGAAATATTATCGAGGCAAACATGCAGACTGAGTTGTTTGAGGGGGGATTAAAAGCGTAATCACTGATTCATTGAAAGTCTTATCATAATGTTTCCTCAGAGTATTATTAAAGTACTTTACTGAATTTCAAGAATATTCCTTCAGTTGGGTTAAATTCATCCTAAGGCTGTTGACATATTTTAGTCTGGATCAGAGTGCCAGACTGAGTTTTCACTGACTGATATTTGTATTGTAAGAGCCAAAGTTACTTTCATAGACAAAATTAAAGGTCTATAGTCACACATTTATCGTACAGTAACCACTTGACAGGCTCTGATACCGCTACTGTTGTTGTCTCTGTGTTCAGGGCTTGGTGATAGAACGAATCGGGAGGAAGCCCCTCCTCATCTTCGGTTTCTCTGCCATGGCGGTCTTCTTCAGCCTACTCACTGTGTTCCTCAATTTTCAGGTGAGCCACCCTCCCTCCTCTTCACTGACCTCATTCTAGAGAAACTGTAAGTGAAAAACAAAGACCCAACAATGCAGTGGAACAATGCATATATTGTACCGCTGTTCTGAATTATACAGTGAACAAATTGCCTTTGGGATTCCTACTGTTATTATCCACCACCTATACTGCCACATTATGGCTGTGATAATACGGGACTTATAATTCAATATCTATACCAACAGAAAGAAAAGAAATGTGCGTTATTATACAAATGTTGTAAAATTTCAAGATGATTCCGGTGAGGTTGGCTGCTTCATGCAATTGAAAAAAAAAATATAGGATGCAGCTGTTATTAATCTTTTACCGAATATATGAGCTTGCTCTTATTTCCCTGCATAGCAATGTGTTGTATCATCTATCTTTTCTGCTTATAATGATTATGGTGATGACAATATCATCTCCCTTCCTCTCTCATCACAGGACAGCGTGTCATGGATGCCGTACCTCAGCTACAGCTGTATCCTGGCTGTGATTGCCTCCTTTTGCTCTGGGCCAGGTAAAACTACTGACCCACATTCATTGCTGAGATTTTTTCCTCTTCACTCCTTCTCTTCCCCTTTCCCCTCTTTCTATTTCTTAATCTTTCCTGAGTGATCCACTTCAAGTGAAACTGGAAAGAGATTGAAAAAATACTATTTCACCTGATTGCCTTCCTCATTTTTGGCTTTCATTTGGCCATGAAGCAGTTGTTGAATAATCAAAGTGAATAATCAAAATCCGGTCAGCAATCTAAGGTTCCTTTGGTTGAATTGGAAAAATCAGCCAGCCAACCACGTGTTTGAATCTCAATGGAAGGCTCATTAGGATCCTTGTATGAGCTAAACAGCGTATGTATAAATGGAATAGTGCATGTAAAGAGTAAGTCTTGGTTGGAGGTTGACTTTGATTTTCAAGGTAGGTCTACAGCTGTCATCGCTCATATACATCCTTCTGAATAACAATGTCTTGAGGGGGTGTTGATCCAGCACTCTGCAGCGTGTGGATCAAAAGGGTACACGGAAACGCTGGACAGTCATCAAAGAGAATCCAAGAGGAATAACATTTGATTTTCATAACGTAGATACCATATTACCTTTTAAATTGTGAAAAAAAAATCCACACAAAAAGATGAAACATCTCTGCTCATATCCGCAGGCTGCAGAGCAAAACCCCTCTTACTGATCAAACACCTCCGCTGAAGCTGTAAACCGGTAAACCTGTAAACCGCGCCTTCCCCGGGTCTACTTGTACTGTGCTAATCATTGAGGGATGAGAGATCGATTCTTGTTTATTTCCACGGTGCAGCAGTGATTTATGGGTTATTGAAACAAATGGAGCCCTGTGCTGCTTAGGGATGGGGAATGACAGGAAGGGGAAGAGAAGGAAACTCACAAAGGGGCATGACCCCACTAGTGCTGCGAGCTTGTGAATAGATAAATGACGAGGCGCACGATTCCATCTCAAGTCAATTCTCCATAGAAATACTGGCCCAGATATTTCAAAATACATACATATAATGTGGTTTTATGAGACTTAAAGAATAATGTCTTTGAATTAATGATCGCATAGTTACAGCTGGTTCATATAATATTTAAAAGTGTATTTCTTGTTTTTACCTGCAACTTCACATTGTTACCAACCTGTCTGTTCCTAAGAGATCAGTATGTTTGACAACAAATAAACAGAGGGATACAACACGGTCAATATTGTGTCAGATGAGTCATATTGAGTTGAGTTAGAGATCTCTTTAAACAAGTTTCAGCACAACCACTTCAGTATGTAATTGGATACAAATCCCATATTCTTAAATCAGTAACATGGCTATTATTATCTAGGTTTGATACATGTTTAAATCTGCAATCAACCTGCTTGATAAACGATTAAAAATGACTATTAATCAGCAAATATCCCGAGAGTGCGGGGTGTGTGGGGGGGCAGAAGTATTTTTTTAAATCCAGGAATTCCGTTTTTTTATTATTTTTATTTTGATATACTTTATTAATCCCTGAGGGAAATTCTGTTTTACACTCTGTTATTGAGAGACATGCTTCTCACACACAGGCCCGAATCACACACACATGCACAAACAGGATTTGTGGACATGCATTAGTGGAGAGAAGTCAGAGTGGGGCTGCTACACACTGCTACGCAGGGCGCACCAGAGCAGTTGGGGGTTTCGGGTTGGTAGTACTCGGGAAGTTCCCTGGCACCTCTCCAGCTACCATCCTTACAGACTTAGCTACTGCCGCCAAGTTAATCAGTCTGCTGATTTGGAATAATGGGGTTCTGAATATTTTTGAGAAGGCCAACAGAGAATTTTTTATTTATTTTTAATTTCAATAAATGCTTATGAAAGAGGTTTACAGGTGTGTGCGTGTGCATATTTTAGTTTCTGTCTTTGAGAGTACGTGTACACTTTTGTGTATTGGTGTTGTTGCCCCATGTGTTTGTGTCTCTTTGTCCCTGACCTTTAAATGTGTCCAGATGTAGCCATGGCACATCTGCCCACTGGGCATCTCATTGAGTCTCCTCCTCTAAGAAACAACTGACTGCCCCTGTAATCAGCCTCCTGTCTGCACATCTGCTCCTTTTTGTCTTTAGGTGGTTTGCCTTGTGGCTTTGGTGTTCCATCAATTTGTGTAACCTATATTCATGGGTTGACCTCCTTCTGTAGACATCAACTCAGTTTGATGGTTTTTTACCTTACCCTGTCTTCCACCAGTGGCCTGATCCAAACGACATGTTCATGGCATTCTCTTGTCCCCAATATGTGGAAAATGTACCTGTAAATACACAGAGAACAATGACATTGGATTTTAATAATTGCTTGTGAATGTGGAAGTATAAATAGTGCAGAAACAGAAGATGCAATGTGACCTGTTGTCTGAAGGAAAATCTCTAATCACAAAATCAAACCAAATATTTTGTTCCACAACACAAGTGATTTGTTGAATTAATGTCTTTTTATATAAGACATCATACGGCAATCTGAACATTACTGTATTTTTGTTTTGTACTGGTTGTGCTCTTTAAATCAGCTATTTCTTTATGTTGATATGTTATTGGTGGTTTTCTTATATCAGCAGCTTGTATATCCTCCTGGCTTTCAGTAGTTCTTTTCACCAAACAATCCAGCATAATGCTTCTCCAAAACAAGTCAAAAGTATACCACGCTTGTAACATAAAAACATACTCTTCCAATGCCTTGTGAGTTTGGAGTTTGAGTTTTGTTGGCAAAAATGTCTGCATGGATAGATAAACTGCTTAGATTAACTGTATACAGATGGGCGGCTGTGGCTCAGTCGAATGATGATTCAAACCAAGTGAAATGTCGTTGGGAATGAACTGAACCCCAAATTGCTCCCAAGTGACATGGCCAACGGTGTGTGAATGCATATGAATAGTACTGGTTAACACTGATTAGTCAGGAGACTAGAAAAGCTCTATATTGGTACAGTCCATTAAACATTTAAGAGCTTGCTCCCAAGCGGCAAAGCCAGTATGAAAGTGCCATAAAAGTACAGTCCACTTACCATTTATCATTTCAGAGGCTCGTTTGGTCGTGAATGTGTTATTTTCCACAGTATTTAATGTATTATAACAACATTAAGATCTGTATCAGCCAACTTTGTTCTTTAAACTTCAGTCCTGTGAAGCCTCACTCTGAGTAATTTAGGTTTTGGTTCTTTATCAGCTTCTCTGATAGCGGTGAGGCAGAAAGCAAAAGTGTCAAGGACCGACAGCCAATTTGGCACCATTGAAGAAAAACAACAGTGTTTAATTTTTTATCACTTAACACAATTTGGCCGACAGACTGGAGGTCTTTGAATGTGTGACTGGCCTCTCGTGATTAGAGGATGGAGTGAGATTATATTTGATTGAAAGCTTGAGGGCCAAATGTGTAATTCACTGCAAGCTGGCGCCCTCTGCGGCAGTCCAGTCAGCAGCAGCGATGAGATGTTATTTAGGGTTGTGTGACAGCATGTTGCTAATTCTCATTAGCCTGTAAAAAAATGTGCCAGCTTGATTTGGGTTTGATAACATCGGGCTTAAAACTGATTCTAATACAGTTAAACACAAATATCAATTAAAATACGGCGATCCCGCAGGCTTTTTTAAATGGACTTTCTAAACTTTGGCTAAGAAAGAAGGGCTACATAGTATAAACTTTATTCATTTATATCTAATCTTTTTATGGTCAGCCTCTTTATAGCTACCTTCACGCATGAAGTCCGGACATTTCCTTGAGAATGTTAAAACAATCAGAACCTGAGATTTCCTGGAATTGCCTTTTACTCTTGTACCTCACTGCAGGAGATAGTCAGGGTGTAATGTGCTCCCACAACTGGAAATACTGCGTTTGATTAGGTAAGGGAGTAGAGCAGAGGTAGAAGGCAGAGGAATCTTCTTTAATGCTCGCTGCCTCTGGGTTAATATCACTCCAGTGTTACTACAATTGTATTTCCCAGCTTCCTTAAACAGGCAATAAATGTGAGTGCGTCTTCAGAAAAGTATTGTGCTGATGCTTTGATCAAAGTACGCACTTTGATCAAAGCATCAGCACAATACTTTTCTGTATCTCTTCAACACCGCTTGAGAGGGTGTTAATGAACAGCTGTTAGAGTTGGCAGGTTTTATTCAATAATTGCATTTCTTTTTCTTTTTTTTTTCTTTTTTTACATCTGTTCTGCCTTCATATATATTTTTTTTAAATAGTTTCTTCACTCAATTAAGACGTAAATGCATTTAACAGCATGGTTTCTATTATACCCAAATGTGAGATTCTGCTTTAGAAACCCCCTTAACATACTGTAATATTCTGTAAGAGTTTGTCCTGGTAAACTATGGTTAGTATGGTTTTGGTTTTGCTCATTTTTTTAAATAAAACCCTTGCATGGGTTTGCAGTGATGTGCATTAAAATTTCTAATTTTCTGTAAATGTTCATTGTAGTGACCTAGGTCTACAGTAATGCACATAAATCCGCACACAACTCTTTATGATCATAGATATAACAGTTTTAATGTTGTTTTTGCATACCGTGAACACATGTCTGTGGCAACATCTTTACTGTTGTTTTCTCATTGTATTCAGTAGTCAACTTATTGTAAAAAAAAAAAAATCTCAGGTTAATACTGCAGGCCGTTACACACATCACTTCATGATAAATGATGCCAGGCCTGGCAATGAAAGCTGAGCATTCATATAGTAGATTTCAAAACTATAAAGAAAACTCAAGATATGAAACAATATTGAACACATAAAACTGCCGTTAAGTGTTAACGGAAACTCATCAGTCATAATAAATGTCTGTTTTCAAATGCCATTTCCTGCAGTGACAGATGTTTTAACTTCCAGCCTGCAGTTTTTTTACGGGGTTGTTACTGCACAGCGCTGCAATAAATCCCTGAGGTCAGATAAAATGTTAAAGCTGATATTTTAAACTTTTATTATCGAGAACTCTGAGATAAAACCAAGTTATGTTCTGTATTAACATGTTTTGTTAAAGCTTATATTGT